ATAATATAGTTAATATATAACAGATATATTATATATAGATATATATATATATATGTTAACGCTATCGTATTTGTTATTCCAATTCACTTTCGATTTCTACTGGAAATAATTGGTGGTGGAGGAGTAGGGAGAGTGAGTATAGCGAGACATGTGAAGGTGTGGCAATAGGAAAAGGAACAGTTTAATGATGGGGATGGATTCAATGTGAGGTGCCTGATACTTGCACCTAAGATCTCCTCCTCTGGTTAATAACCCCCCCTCCCCCCCCCCCACCCCCACCCCCCCACACACACAAACACACACAGACCTACACCCTCTGTCCTGTCCCCACTCACATTCCTTTATTCTCTATTTCCTGTAAAATCACTATTTTCTACAGAGTCATTACTCTTTGCAACACATCTCCAGTGCTGTAACTTGCTGGTATGTTCATGCATTTATTTATTCTTTTTAAAAAATCGCAGTTTAGAGAATTTCCAGTTGATATAAATGGTGTTTAAATCAGAAAATCCAATAAAACAATGCATTCGTTACTCTATACACTATATATATATATATATCCTCTGAAGCTTTTTATAATAAAAATCAGCTTGCGGCGGCTTATCACATCTTAGAGACGCTTCACAGAAAAGTAACGTGAATTGACTACAGTGTTTGTGGGCGAAAGACATCAAAATGCAAGGATTATTATCATTATTATCATCATTATCACTATACTGGATGTGATATTGCTCGGTTTCAGGAGAATTCTGCTGTGTTCATATAAATGCAAGGGCTTGTTAGGGCAAACAATAAAACTACTGTCTTTTGCTTTAAAAAAAATAACTTTCTTGACAGGTTGTAAGTTAGATTTTCTGTTTGTGTGAATGTGATTGAGTTGTTCTGAGCTCTATCTATCAGTTACAGCAATACCAGTGGCGGTGGGCCGGGAATCTCTCTCTCTCTCTCTCTCTAACAGGAGTTTATAATGAAATGATTTTCCCATCGATTTTTTTTTTACGCTGAAGATTATATCTTCAAGTTAAGGACTGCTTTCGCCGTGTGCTCGTGTGGGTTTCAGCCACAGAGAAGGGGAGAGAGGAATTGATTTGATTCTTGTTCTGTTTGTATCGTTTCCCTTCTCAATTGATCAACAGGCAATTATTTAGCCAATTGCCTCGCAATTGTTTTGAAAAGCGATCGATAGTCTGCCGATTGGGTTTCAGAATTCGATGGTGCAGATCAATTAAAACCTCACCGCGTTGCTGCCCCCAAAAAATAACTCGATTCTAACGGGAAACATTTTATGTTCGGTATCCCCAGGTTTTAACCCCAATTCTCTTTTTTCTCTCTAACTTCTTGATCGTGATTTGTTCGCTTACAAACCACGCAGTGCAATAATAATCCTTGCATTTAATAGAGCACGTTATCATGTTATTGAGACGTGTCTCGAAGTGCTTCACAGGATAGGCTGCGAAGTGGATTCACTGTGTATTTTGTGGGTGAAACGGGCAGTCAGTTTGCGCACAGCACTGTCCCACAAACAGCCAAGGAGTGAGTAACCAATTTTATTTGGTGTATTATTAGCCAGGACTATATTTTGAGATTTCCTGCAGACTTGATTGAAAGGCGTTGTGTCAAACAATAATTCAAATATAAGGATTGTTACTATCATCATCATCATTATTATTATATTATTGTTATGACTCTCAATCTCCAGGGTTATAATTTACTGGTGCATTCATTGTATTTGCTTTTATTTTATTTTGTAAAAAAAAATACAAATTAGAGTATTTGGAGTGGATTTATTTTACTCTATTGGTTCTTTCCAGCTATGTGAAAATGAAAATAACAATAATAATTTGGCCACTCATTCCATTACTGTTTGTGGGACACTATTGGCTGCCGCACTTCACCCACAAAATGTACAGTCAATTCATTTTACAGTATATTTTGTGAAGCGCTTTGAGATGACTCGAAGATGTGATAAGGCGCTACATCAAATGCAAGGATTATTATTATTATTATTATTATGTTATATCTCTTGCCAGCGAAATACAGTTTCCCCCATCGACTAGCCAGCTCAGAAATGACCACTTGGTGAGATTACAGACCGAATGAAAGCGGGCTCAGATTTCTGAGCTATATTTTGCTACACAGAGGCCCCTTTCTCAGCCCATTACAAGTAACAGAAAAACTGAGACGAGATAAACACTTATCGGTAGGTTAAATGTCTTGAAGTAGCACTGAATAGATTGCTCTGAAAATGGGACTAAAAGGATTGCTCTCTCTTTCTCTCTCTCTCTCTCTCTATATATAATATATACAAAAAGAACCGATACAGGCACATGCCGGACAGGATGGGCCAAATAGCTGTCTTGTGTGCTGTACATTTCTATTGTTCTATATAACGGTTCCTAAAAATCAGAAAATTCCTTAAAAGTAATGCACAAGCACAATGCACAAAGTGGCGGATTACCAACCGGTTACCCAGTCTTTTAGCATATCAATGGCAAGCTATACTGTTTTAGCTGGTCAGACTCCAGCAGTTATCCCAACACACACCCTGGGGTCCTCAAAGCCTTGGTCCCTGCCCACCGTGCACCTAATATCCTCCAGAATTAGGTAAAAGCAGGATGAGTCCCTCCAGGGAGACAGTGCGCATCCCATTCCAACAGTCTATCTCTGGGATTTCCGCATGTAGGTGGGATGCATGGAATTCTCAGTTTGGTTTGGATACTCTTAAGCACAGTGATAGTTTTTTTCCCCCCATGTGTCAGACACCCAGCAGACCGAAAAATGATGTATTTTTTTTAAGCAAAGCATCGTTTTCATCTCACACGAATCACATGCCATCTATTCTATTCACACGACATTTTTTTTCACGTTGCTTCTCATTCCAGAAAATACTTTTTTTAAATATATATATACACATTTATATAAAGCACACGCACACACACACACACACATATGGTGCGGGTCGAGAAACAGCTCCAGCGTTTTGCAGCGTGCGTGGTTTTTATTGAAAACTTTGCGGTCACATCTCTTTCCAAATCACACTTTACAGAGGAGTTCAAAATTAAATAAGGAACGCACGAGAGAGATAGGAGGCGACAGGTAGATAGCCTTCTGGGGTTTTTTTCCCCCACATATACCGTCTGTAGATTCAAGTCGGAACCTCGAGAGCGGGGAGCGGTTTATTAAAACAGGGGCAGAGATGGAAAGGGGGGGTTGAGGGATGGAGTTAGTGTGTCTGTCACTCACAGAGAGCCGCAGGGAAATGGACCATTCGGAAGGAGCATAGCGTTTGCTAACATACATACATACACACACACACACACACACACACACATACATACACACTCACACACACACACACACATACATACATATACATACACACACACGTATATATATATACACACACACACATATATATAAACATACACACACACATATATATATATAAACATATATATATAAACATACACACACACACATATATATAAACATACTCACACACACATATATATATAAACATACACACATATATATATATATATATATATATATAAACTTACACACACACACAAACATACATACACGTACATACATAGGGCGAGAGGGAGGGAGATGGCTGCGACAACCTGGACACCACAGAGAGAGATGAAACAAAAACCAAATAATTGCTGAAAAAACAAGTAAAACCAGGAAAGGCGGCAACACAAAGCTCCCCAGCAAACAAAGTCTCTTAACCTTACACAGACGCTCCCTTGGCCTCTGCCGTTGTCTTGTCTGAACAACTTTTATTTATATTTCTTTTTCTTTTTTTAATAAAAAAGCTAATATCTGCCATGAGTTCATAGTCCAAGCCAGTCGATTTTTTTAAAATGATTTTGATTGTCAATGCATTACGAGTCTCTCTTTATGCCCCTACCTTTGCCCCCTTTTTTACCCCAAAAAATCAAATAATGATTAAAATGAACAGGGCGCCAAACAAACAAAGATCAGTTTTGTTTTTAGAAACAAAGTGGGGGGGGGGGGGAAGTAATCGTGGATTAAAATTGTTATCCCTCCCGGGCGGATGAGGTAGAAAACCATTCGTAAACTGTTATTGCAAAACATTTTTTTTTAAAACTTAAAAAAAGCTTAATTATCGTTATTTTATTTTTAAAAAGTTCTATTTATTGTATTCATATTGTGAGAGCGACATTCACTAAAACTGAAATGATGGGGAATCTCATGCAAAAGAAAATCAAGGGTAAAGGACCTCTGAGCCCGTACGGTAGAATACGATTCAATCAAAAAAAATTATCCCAAAACAGAATTATTTTTGTTCAGTAAAATTGAAATTGACAAAGTGGAGATATCAAACACTCCCGATGCCTCGAATCCAGCGGTAGTTAACCTGTGAGTGTGTGTTTGTGTGTGTGTGTATATATATATATATTTATATATATTATATCCCTGGATCTTAACAAATTGGGCTCGTTTTGGATCAAGAAAAGAAGTTAACGCACAATTTCATTCACTGACTATATACAGTTTCTTACAGTAGAAAAGCAAACCGTTTTTCTTTCGTTCACAAGAATGTGATTAAACATTATTTCAAGTCTCGCTGAGATTGTTTTTGCTACAATATGATTGCCAGGGAAGTCGCCGATGTCTGTCTCAATCCCGTTCAAGACTTAAAGCTGTCACAAACCCGTACAAAAATACACAATTAAGACCCATTTTCCTCACTCCCTTTACTCTACCCCTCTCTCTCTCTCTCTCCTCCCCCCCCCCCCCATCTCTCTCTCTCTCTCTCTCTTTCTCCCCTCTCTTCCCCCTTTCCTGCAGAGAGCTCTCTGTCAGATGCTTTCCTTCCGTTGTCACTTGGTATTTGTCGGATGAAATTTAAAACGAGGACATTAAAAGTTATTAAATCCTGGTTTGTCCCATTGTCTGTGTCAAACAGGGCGGGTGGAGCTCAGGGTGTGGGCGGGCGGGCGGGCGGGTGGGTGGGCGGGTGGTAATACCTAATGTGTGGCGGAAAATTTCATTCGTTTCTGTTTCTGTCTCTGATTGCAAAACCAGACTCTCACCACGTTTTTCTTGAGGTCTAGTTTCTCTGCGATTGCCGCGATCTTCTCGGAGGAAGGTCGGGGCTGGACGGCGAAATAGGCTTCTAAAGACCTCTTCTCCGGAGCTGCGATGGAGGTGCGCTTACGCTTTCTGTCCCCTCCGTTGAACAGCTCGGGTTTGGTCATCTTCTCCCTCTGAGCTCTCTCCGCTTCATCCAACCAAGCCTCCAAGATGGGCTTGAGGGCGATCATGTTATTGTGCGAGAGAGTCAAGGACTCAAACCTACAGATTGTGCTTTGACTTAGGCAGCCCACCCCGGGGATCTTCAGGTTGGCCAATGCCGACCCCACGTCGGCTTGTGTCACCCCCAGCTTGATCCTCCTCTGCTTGAACCTCTCAGCGAACGACTCCAATTCCCTGGGATCCGCGTCTCCCTCGGGACCTCCCAGCCCGGCGTGGGTGGTCAGGCTGTGGGCATGGACCATATTCATGGTCTGGTGATGGTGAGGGTGAGGGTGTGCGTGGGGCGACATGGGGTTCATTGCCGCCATGTGCGAGTGTGGGTGAGATGGGGTGCTGCCCATCTCGGGTCCTCCCATGCCACCCAAGGAAAGGCCGTGGTTCATGTGGTCAAGAAGGTCCCCTTCCAGGCCATGGGACGGCTGGTGGTGGTGATGGTGATGGTGGTGAGACGTGAGGACCGAGGGATGAGGGAGATGCACGGAAGAGGAGGTCGGAGTGCAAGCCACACTGCTCATGGTGTGGTAAGTGGCATCTGGCTTGAAAGGGTGGCTTTTCTGGGTGACTATATCCACAGCCGCGAGAGCTTCGGCTCGACTCAGCAACGATTCATCGAAGCCGGCGAAAATATTGCCTTGTAACTGAAATAAACCCAAAAAAAAAAAAAAAAATCAGAGCGGGTTATTATCGCCAGGGACATAACAAGGGTACGTTTGCAATAATATTAATCGTTGCATTGCATTGCTCTTATCACATCTCAAGGCGTCTGCTTCACAGAATATATTGCGAAGTGAATCGACTGTGTGTTTTGAGGGCGAAACATCTGAGAGGCTGAACCCCCACCGGGGTACACAGGGTCCAAACAGATCTGCTTCGCTGGTGGGACATCCAACCAACACAGAACATGTCCTGAGAATTGTCAGTCGCGTTTCTTTGGTACTTTACTGACTCACTTACTGTTGCTCTTCCCCCCGAAGTCACTACTATTTAACGCCAATACACGGATCAATCATTAAAAGACAGAATATTTGCGTTTCGCTCATAACATGTACTACACAGTCAAGTCACTTTACAGTATGTTCTGTGAGGCGCTTTGAGACGTCTCGAAGACGTGATCGAATTCGCTGCATCACATACGAGAAGCACTTTTATTATTGTTAATATCTCACACAAATACGCAGCAGTTTCTTATACTATAATTGGCTTCGGTGCGACATTCCTCGGTGGGGAAACTGCTCTCAAACCCCGTCGATCCATCTCAGAGACCACTTCTATTTGAGACGGTGACACTAACAGATAAGAGGGTTTCACACAAACATGAACAGCAATAATGTGGCTCTTCAGTCACTTTAATCATCACAACCCGGAACACAGAGTACCACCGCACCTCTTTCCCCCTCAAAAAGCTCCATCGATATACAGTCATCTCAGCCTCTGCAGAGTCCTCTTCTCGCTTTTTTTTTCGAGATAAAAAAAACTTTCTGTTATCATTTTCCCCACAAGATATACATCAACACTACACGTCCTTCCCCCGCGTGGCAGATCCACAGTGTTGGAATATCGCACTCGAGTCTGTGTGTCTGTGTGTGTTTTTTGCAGATCGATGGTTTTTTTTCCTATTGACAACACAATATGCAATTCATACTTTCCATTCACAGCGCCTTTTTTTCGGGTCTCAAAAGCTTAACACACGATGTAAACAAACAAACAAACAAACAAACAAACAATCACACAAACACACACACACACACACACACACACAAACCAGACACAATCTCTCCTGTTACAGCAATACGACAAACCGGGAAGTACCAATTTAGCTTTTATACATAATACATAATATTAAATGTATAAAATATAATCATATATTTTCTCCCCAATTCAAAAAAATCACAGTTTAAAAAGTGCAGTCGGCAATTTGCTGTGAAATGTCCCGACTTTGACACCTGCGGGAAAAAAAAAACCCCCATCGCCAGTCTCCGGACCCGAGTCCGTGGGGGATCCCACGCACACGGCGGGGTTTGCGGGGAGGGCAGCGGGTTCCGACCTACCTGCGGGTTTGGCAGACACGCCCTCCTGATGGCCTCGGTGCTCGAGTGCAGAGAGGTGTACTTGGGCTCGTGCAGGATGGGGTGCATGCTGAACGCCTGCTTGCTGTTCATGGACATCATGTTGGCGGCGTGCGGTTCATGTGCGGGGCGGTGCGGGAGGGGGGGGCGGTGCGGGAGGGCAGAGCGCGGACCCGGCGCTGTCCTCCTTATTATGGCATCTTCCACCCGCCTCCCAGCTGTGTTATACCCGCGCCCGCGCCCTCAGCCCCGCCCCCGCGGCCCCCGCTCATTGGCTCAGCGCCGGCGCCGCCCCTCCGCCAGCTGGCCGGGCCCCGCCCACTCGCTTCCCTCATTGGCTGAGCCCGCGCCCGCGCCCCGCCCCCTCCCTCCGCCAGCTGACCGGGCCCCGCCCACTCGCTTCTCTGATTGGCCAACAGCGGACCGGGCCCCGCCTATTCGCTTCTCCCATTGGCCAGCAGCGGACAAGACCCCGCCCTCTCACTTCTCCCATTGGCCAGCAGCGGACAAGACTCCGCCCTCTCGCTTCTCCCATTGGCCAGCAGGACTCGGGCCCCGCCCACTCGCTTCTCCCATTGGCGGGCAGGGCCCGGGCCCCGCCCACTCGCTTCTCCCATTGGCGGGCAGGGCCCGGGCCCCGCCTCCCAGCGCTGGTATGAAATGAGCACATGTCAATTTCACCGCCGCTCAGAGAAGAGTTCAATCAGTGACGGTGCGTGAGCTTCAGGGGACGTCTCTCTCTCTCTCTCTCTCACATACATACACACACACACATACATTCACACACACACATACATACATACACACAGATACATACACACACACATACATACATACATACATACACACAGATACATACACACACACATACATACACACATACACACACATACACACACATAAACAAACATACATACACGCACATACACATACATTCACACATACATACACACACATACATACACACACAAAAATACACACATACCTACATGCACATACATTCACACACACATACATACATGCACACATACATACACACACATACATAGATACATACACACACGTACATACATTCACACACATACATACATACATACACACACACACACACACCCTACGCCTTCTCTACAGGTAGAACCATTATTCGACACCCTCCCTTATTAAACATGCCCAGTCGGGATTAAAAAAAGGGAATCGAGTGAGAGCACTTACAGCGATTACCTGATGCGTTTGTGGAGCAAGAAAGCAACAGTGTGTGCGATTTCTGTGTTCTGCGAAGACAGGGATTGGTAATTTTAGGGGCAATCGAAGCATCAAGCGGTCGCAGGACAGGTATTAGCAGATGCAAAACAGGGGCTACCACTGAAGTTTACCCTCGCACCATCAGTTGTTCGAATAAAGTATCTATCTCTGGGATTTCCAGGTGTAGGTGGGATGGGATGCATGGAATTCTCAGCTCGGTGTGGATGCTGGCAAAGCATGGTGATGGGTTTCCGAACGGGTCAGGCTGATCCCCCAAAATAATAAAGTACTTGTCAGCCGCTTGGGTGGGCGAGGAATGGAAACAAGAAATCAGTGCCCTGGGGGAGTGTTAATAATAAAATAATAATCCTTGCATTTGATATAGCGCTTTTCACGTCGGGAGGACGTCCCAAAGCGCTTCACAGAACACACTAAAGTGAATTGACTGTATATTTGTGGGCGAACGCGGCAGCCAATTGCGCACAGCAATGTCCCACAAACAGTCGTAGATTGAAAATGACCAATTTTAATTATTGTTTTTAGTTTTGGAGGAATTATTATTAGGCTCTGTGTGGAGTAAGGAAACTTGCCCAAGGTTTCGCCCTCTGCCTGGAATTGAACTCAGGTCTCTCACTGGCAAAGCGAGTGCTCTAACCACTGAGCTACAGGACTCCACGATGTTAGATTTCTCCATGTATTTATTTTTATTTTTAAAAAGGGAGCAATCAGGTTTATGTCCCATAACTAATGCAATTGGACAGATTGTTGCATTTATGACATGTAATCTGAATATGTGCTTTAAGAATACCTGTCTGGGAATTTTTTTGTTGGCGCTCGGAGACCTTTGCAAATATACCTAGTTTGATCCAGATGTTGTGCGTGTTTATACCAATAAAAAGGGGTCATCTTTGACTTTAATGAATCTCAGTATAATGTGACACAATGTAAGAATTTTGGAGATGCTCCCTTACTATCTGTCAGTCTATTTATAAACCTGGATCAATAATTACTTTGGCTCTGTCAGAACACCTACAACTGTCAGAACAGTTAACTGGTGCTCGCCACGATATAGTTTTTACATTGCTTGGCGAAGTCCAGCTTTGCTGCACTATGGGCTTCATGTTTGGTCGGAGATCTCCCATTACAATGGAGCAGTAATATTTGTACAACAGAACTAATTATGAACACACACAACCCGCTGTAAAATAGAGTGCAATTATTTTTTTAACTGCTTGTATGTAGAGTGGTAGTATCTATGTAATTGCAAGTTGGTGCTGGTAACAGGCAGTTTTGTTGCAAATACACAGTCGCTACATTTGACAGAAATTTCTGGTGATGCCCTTTGAGACATTTGGATAACAAATGTCAAATGCAAAGATTATTATTATTAAATAGGTAAGTTGGTGATATCTATTTGCCATTTGGGTGAAGTGGAGAAGGATGTTTTGGGAGGGCATTATTTCAATATGGAATGATTTAGGTAAAATAATCCATTTGATACAGCGCATATCGTGTTTTTGAGACGTAGTGTTAAGTGGATTGACTGTGTATTTTGTGGCCAAAACTCTCGGGATTGTGGGAGAGAGCATTGAAATCTTTGTTGAGGTTAACATTGGACAAATTTGCAAATTTGATGTCAGCCCCCAGCTGCTTTGTGCCAGCTGAAAGTCCTATGGCAGGTTCGCTGACAAAAACACAGTCACTACACTTTACAAAAAAATAATTTGATTCATCAATGTGATAAGGCGCTGTATCAAATGCGAGGATTATTATTATTATTATGACTCCTCTTGTGAGTTGACAGATTTCTTGACATCTTCATAGCATCACTAGGAAGTGGAAGGAGAGCCTGGTTAGTTTTATGGTATATTTTATGAGACTGCTGGCTTCAAGCAACTACAGAATCTGATTTTAAGAATTTGGTACATACTGATGATAAGTCAGTGCTTTTGGAGCCTCAGTAAGTGGTGGGATAAGGCTGTGCACAATCATGGGTGATTTAGACATTCTGTCTCTCATTATTAATATTTTTATGATAGTCAATTTCTTTTGAGTTTGTTGGATTGGGGAGAATGATACGATTATAAGTCATTGTGCAATGCACATTTAAATTTATGTTGCACCTTTCATGTCAGGAGAATACCTCAAGTTTAATTAATCCACACACCTGTTTACCTAGAAGTAAGTGGGAACCCGGTTGTTAGGATAGCTATTCGGGGGTAATAATCCCCCTCCAAATCACTCAATCCATGACTGTTTGTGGGACACTGCTGTGCACAATTGACTGCCACATTTCACCCACAAAATACACTTTACAAAACTAATTTTACAGTACATTCTGTGGAGTGCTTTGAGACATCTCAACGACATGATAAAATGCAAGGATTATTACTATTAAAGTCTTTAGTGCAAACACTAAGTGTGATACTGAATAAAACAGCATGTGCAGAATTACTCTATCTTCACATCACACAACTGCTGAAATCCATCAGCAAAACATCTGGAGTATCCAGAAGGGCTCCAGTGATAAGTAACACAGCCATTAGTTCTATGGAAAGTGTTTCCCATAAAGGTGACCTCCAGTCAGAACACAAATTGCTTCCCATCAAAATGATGTGACTTCTACTTCCTGGGAGTATACAATCCAACAGGGCAGCTTTCATTAAGAGCAGTGACAATAACAGTGAGACAGGCAGACAGGCTGTGTTGAGATGCTTTGTCTACCTAATAGCGTAAGGGTAGCAGTGGATTGAGATCTGAATGTTAATTGAAATAGACGGTGTTAGGTGAGAAAGTGTCAAAGACACAGCAAGCAATGCTGTACACTTCACAATCCTGTACTGTAAGCTCTACTAGTGTAGTGTATAACAAATACAATAAGTAAATAATTTTTAATGCAAGAAGATATCAGTTCATATCTGTTCAGAATCCACTTTATAGTGACAACAACAATATCATGCGAAGCACTTGGAGACTTGTTGAAGACGTGAAATGCATTTGGTATAATCCTTGCATTTGGTATAGTGACTTTCACTTCAAGAGGACGTCTCAAAGCACTTCACAGGACTGTAAAGTGTAGTGACTGTATACTTTTGATGAATAGAGCATTTCTGGTACTCATGAACTCAGATGTAATGCAATAACTATAAACCACATCTGTACTTGTGTTACCAATGACATAAAGTAACCTGTACCAGCATAGATGACTTATTTATGTTGTTTAGACTGGAGAGGCAAGTAGCACTCTGACTGGTTTAGAGTACTTGGATTCTGAATTTCTTACACATAAGAATGTCTGTCTTGAAGACACAATGTACATTCTGGTATCCATAGCCTAGCAATTTGAAAACACACCGATGAGATGTGTGTAAAGGCCTTCAACTGCAGTATTTATAGATCAAAGCAAACTTGTCACTGGGTTTTATTTGAGAACAAAATTCCATTGGCTGGCTCTTTACCTGTCGCATCAAACTAACCCATGGCTAGCCTTCCAATGTTTATGCCAAGTGCAAATGCAAAGATTATTATTAATATGTTAGCAAATAAGTCCTGAGTAAGAGATAGTGTAAGTAAGTTGGTAGGAGTGTTTGAAAAGTTGTAAGGCAGTATGTAATGCTGGCACATTAATTTCCACTGTGTCTAAACTTGTGTGTGCTTGGAAACTTGCAGGAACACAACAGGGAAAACGACTGAAGCAATTCTGGCACCAACTGGAAGCAATAGGACAGCCAACATGTGCTGAGACTCATAACCTGGGAACAGTCAGAAAAGCAATCTGGGAATTCTCACTCTGACTAGGTACAAACAGGAAGAGAGCCAACATGGCAAGAGAAGGAGCAAATGGGAACAGCAAGAATGGA